GAATTGGAGTGGGGGAAGATCTCTAATCTGTTAAAGAACTTGAAAAGGTGCATGGGATTTCTGCCTCGATGGTATTAGCTAGAGTTCCCAAGGAATTTCCTTCGCTGCATGGAGGAACACACAAATCTCCGCGCTGCTATGAAGCGGCTGCTGACCAAACAGAATTTATGGAAATGTGGGATAGCAGCTATGACTAACTTCAGTAATTTCCTGCTAAGCAGCATAACGTGTGATTACTGGGTAAGAGGCCAACCGTTAAAAGGAGAGAGAGAGAGAGAGAGAACCCCTGAATCTGGCTTCTTTGCTGATCTGACTGACGAAGTGATTTGATTCAGCTCAGATCTATTAACGAGGGATGTTTGCCTTCCAGTTTTTCTGGAGGGTCAGCGCTGAACCAGAAGTGTGGGAACCCCAATATCTTAGGATCAGGAATCAATCATTGGAGCAAAAATGGCTTCATGGAACCATAAAAGTTGGAAGGCATCGAGTCAAGACACAGCTTACTGCTGGAATCTTGCATGGTGTTGTATTTCCCCCGTAATCTGCCATGCGCAAGACGAAGTGGGACGTTCTTGATGGCACACTAGGGACCCGAAGAGAATCCCATCCAAATAGGCCTCAGATCAGCAGCCCAACACCTTTCTGGATGCTGTGATCCAAAAACATTCGGGGATCCACACACTGCCCTTACATACCCTCAATCTACATTACACCGGTTTGTCAGAGTACATTCAAAAAAATCCTGGACTTTATTAATTATTATTGTTTTGCCAAGCAGTCAGAAGTAACTATATGCACCTTGGTGCATTGCACACCCAAACACACACACCACCCCCATCCCATCCAAAACTCCTCCAACCCTCCTCTGGCTTTCTGAAGTAGGTCTTGACCTGAAGGAAGCTTTCTGCGGCTTCCAGTGGCGCTTCTTTCAATTGCCAGAGGAGACGCACTCAACAGCCCATCAGGCGGGCATTTCTCCAAGACGCATGGAGTGTGTGTGTTCTCCTCCCCCCCCAAAAAAATCTCTAGGCAACCTGACCTGGGCATGGCTAGAGTTCCAGTTTCTGTGCTCTTTCTCTCTCTCTGCATCCCCCCCCCAACCCTTCGCTCTTGTTCCCACGGAAAAAGCACTGCACAAGCGGCTGCAAAGTCTTTTCTCAGCCCCCGGGAGAAAAGGGGCTTTGTTAGCTTGCCCGGGGAGACAGCGTGAGAGCCGAGTGGCAGAGGCACTGGGAAGCCGAAAAGGACAAACGACGACGAGGGAACAAAAAACCCACAAGAAAGACCTGGAGGCATGAGAGGGAACGGGGCCGCGATTCCCAGGATGGGGCGCAGGTGATAGGTCTCTTACGGGCCTCCAGCTCCCACACAGCTGGAACAGCTGCAGACCCCAGAAACACAGCCCCCCCAAAAAAACAAGCCGCTCCGCTCAGCCCCCACAGACCCAAGGGCTCCTCAAAATCCCACCACCGAAAGGTCAGATCAGGAACAGAGGAACCTGGCTGCTCTCCCTCTACATCCCAGGTTGTTCTCACAGGCCATCACAAGCAGGGTCCAATGATAAGATCCCCCTCCCTGCCTGGCCAATTTTTGGGGGGGGGGAATCACCCAGGGAGAAGGAAAAAGGTGGCCCAAGAAGCCAGGAACACAAAGGAAATGGGCAAGAAGAAGATTCCTGTTTCAGCCTGACCAAACTCAAGACAGCCTTTGCAAGCGCATGCATGAATCATTACAGGGGATTTGTGGCTGTTTCAGCCTGACCAAACTCAAGACAGCCTTTCCAAGCGCATGCATGAATCGTTAGGGGGGATTTGTGGCTGTTTTAAAGATGTGTGTTAAGGGGAGGTTGTTTCCTTCAAAGAATCCCAGGCTGGCATCCCAAGCACCATCATCATCATCATCATCATGGCTTTTCCCCACTTCCCAGATGATACAATCAGCCGCCCCAGGACGTCAGCCCTGAAGGGCTCCGAAGGGTGATGAGGCCGGACCGCAGAGACACACAGAGACCGGGTGGAAAACAGAGGTCAGGTCGGATGCTTTCTGTGCCCTTTGCTGCCAGGCTTCGGGCTGCCATTCCAGCACAGATTGGACCCGATCCATCTTAACAGGCCAGCGGCTGGGTCTAAAGCCCAGACACAAGAACCGTCGCCGGTCCAGATCCCTGGTTTGTGACAAAGCCTCTGCTTGGCAGAAAACTATGAAAAAATCTTGCACAAAATCATGGTCTCCAACCCTAGTCTACCCCACAAGGTTGGTGTACGGCTATAAAAGGTGTGGGGTGAAAAAGCGGCCAGGTTTCTTAGAGGAAGGGGCGGGTTGCGAAGGAAACATGGCCCTTGGTTTGCCAACTGATAAGTCATCAATGGGTGCGTGCGCACCTACTTGATAAGACGGCCATCTACGGCTAGGCCAAGAGGATAGTAAATTTAAAAAAAAATCATCCTGCACAAGGGAATTGAGAAGCATCTCAAGTATTAAGGTGCCTACACTAACCAGAGTTTAGAAAATCCCTGGATGGAGGGGGGGATTTCTTCAGTCCAAAAATGAAATTTTCTACAGCTCTGTTAACTCTTCAAATGCACCCATAAACACACACACCGCAGTTCTCTTTGCAGGGAATTCAAATTCTTCATTGCATATGGCGACCTATAAGGCATTCCAGACCACCAGCCAGAGTTTCCAGGGAAGGAGGTGAATGGGAAGAACTTGATGTCTGAAGTCCCCCCCTCCCCGCCACCACCTTCTCCTCCTTCGCTCTTAACACCCCTGAGAATTTTGCCCACCTCTTTTTCCCTTTAAGCCGAGAGGAGAGCCACCTCCCCCTTCGGCCTCCGCTTTACATCTGACAAGCCCAGTCCAGCGACACAAATCGCATTACATGCTTCTCATCCCCAATCTCCTTGAGAAAATAAGGAAAAGCAAGGGAGGGCAAAGGAGGGGAGGGGAGAGAATAAACAGGCATCTCTGAGCATGAGAAGTAGGGGGAGCGGCTGGCGGACACGGGTGGGTGGGGGAATCTTCCCTGGGACAGCCATTAAAGCCAGGGAAGCTGGTTAGATGGCTGTCTTAAGCGATGCCCAGTCGGAGCTGTCAGATGGAAAGCAGAGACCAAAGGCGGAAAAAGATGTTAGAAGCAGAAATGAAAGGCTGGCTTCTCTCCTGCTTAAAGAATTGGGGGGGGGAGATTAGACTAAGTAGGGGAATCCCTCCGCCCACCCCACACTTCTGATTCTTCCCTCTGCATGCTCTTTGGGGGAAATATCCGAAGGGACCCAGGTAGGTTTTACAGAATTTCTCCAAAAAGGGATGTTTGGGGGGGGGGGAGGAACAGGCGTTTTAAACAGAAACCTCAGCTACAGAACACATGGTGGACTTTTTGACCAGCAGCCGGTTTGGAACAGGATTCACACCCACTGACAATCTGGGTCCTGGTGGAAGTTCCAAAACCATGTCCTTCCCCAGTAGAGTTTGAAGAGAAGCAGAGATAGATAGAGAGAGAGAGAGAGAGAGAGATTTGATTTCCGAGGGCTTGGATTCGCCCACAGCGGGGCAGGTGGCCCCCAAAGTTGCTTGGCTTGGAGAGCCTTGACATCCGAGCCAGCCTGAAAGCAGTTTGAACGTGCGGTTCGCACACAACCTCCTGCCTGCCTGCCTTCCTGCCCGCCCTGCCACAGCTCCCCTTCTTCCTGCTGCCCACCAGGCAGGCTCTGTGGCTCTTGCAGAGCTTGAAGGCCACCTAAAGGCCAGGTATCCGCGCCCACGCAGGTAGGAAGGGTGACGAGGGCATATATAGATTAGCCTGCGTGAGGGCAGCTGGGCGGCTTCCGAGGGAGACAGGGATCTTCTACACCCCGACAGACAGACGTGTGTGTCATAACAGTGGCCTCCCTCCCACCCTCCCCGTCCACATTTCAAGTCGTTTGACAACCTTAAAAAAGAAAGCACAGTTTTGTTTGCGACCTCAAAATGCATGAAGACAGCCTGGGCCAGCAGGAGCTGTGGATGGTGGGAGTTGTAATCCAGCAGGAGGGTGCTACCAGGAGAATGGGAAGGAAAACCCGCAAGGGGGGGGGCTAAAACCGGGGTTCAGCCATTTCTTTCAGCAGCCAAGCTGGGTTCAGGATTAGAGATGCTCAAGGGGAACAAGCTGTCTTAACATGTACAGAGTGCGCTTCCACTCCGGCCTGAAGGCGTGAAGTCTGAGAGCCGGATTCCTCCTTCCTGGTTGTCCTCCCTGTCTGTCATTGCGGCTTACTCGGGTGAAACAAGCGCCTGTACCAGAGGCGCCTGCGCACGCGCTGGGCGCAAGCATCCACACGTGCAAAGCAAGTCTGTGCCCCCCAGCCAGCCCCCAGCGCCCGGGCGAGGGAAGGAGGAGGAAGCAGCCGGGGTGGAGGCGCGTGGCTCACTTTCTTCCCCCCGGGGGGGGGCAGGGCAGGGCGGAGGCGGCCGAGATGAAGGCGCCGGGCTTGCCCTTACTCGCTGCCCGCCCGCCCTTGGCACGGGGGTGCCCCGCGCCTTCTGGATGAGTGCGCGCCAGCCCGGGGGGGAGCGGGAGGGAGAGAGGGAGAAGACCTGTGCGCCTGCCATGCCTGGATGGGAGACCCGGGTGGGGGTTCAAGAGCACCCCTGGGGGATTCCACCGCCACCCCCCTCCCCAACCTCTGGGACGAGCCAGCCCCGAACTCTCCGCCAGGCTCACGAGACGGGCCTCCGACTGCCTCCGATCCCGGCTTACACGTTTCTGCAGCCTCCAGAGAGGCCCCCTCCGGTGCCAGCTGGAATGCCTCCAAGACAAGAGTGCCCCTGGGGCTACGCAGAGCGCCTCGTTCCCGCCATCCGCCACCGATGCGCCAACCGACCTCGTACCTTCGAGGGCGCCCCTTCTTTTGCGCGCGCGGGGGGGGGGAAGGAGCGCCGTTTATTCTTTTACAAGACAAGAGATAAATAAACCCCGCAGGATCCGTCCCCCTCCCCCTCGGCGCCCCGGCCCTTACCATCTCCTTGTGGCGGGAGATCCAGGTGTCGAGCAAGAGCTCCAGGCGGGACTGGTGGAATTTCTTGGTGGTCTTGACGGCGATGAACACGTCCCGGGGCCAAAGCTCCTCCGCCGGCGGCCGGAGCTGCTGCTGCTTCCCGGCCTCCGGGCGGTCACTCCCTCCGCCGCCTCCGCCTCCGCCTCCGGGCCCCCCTTCCCTCTTGCTCCGGGACAGCTTGGTGAAATAATCGGTGAAGCTCTGGACGTCCCGCAGGCTCTGCCCCGCCGAGCCTCCAGCACCACCGCGCAGGGGCCAGGGGGAGATGCCCGGGGCGGCGGCCGGGCGGGAGCTCTCGAAGGGCGGCAGCAGCAGCAAGCCGGGCCCCCCTCCGCCGCCGCCGCCGCCCCCGCCGAGGCTCAGCCCCTGCCCTTTCTGCTGGTCCACCATCAGGACCAAGAAGCAGGTCAGCATGGAGCCCACCAGCGAGAGCAGCAGCTTCTTCCCGCAGCTTTTCAGCATCGCCGCCGCCGCCGCCGGGGATCCGCTGGGCAAAGGGAGGGACGGGCAAGGCGGACAGCGGCACGACAACCCTGCAGGGGCGGCTCCAGGAAGCCCACCT